CCCTGCACCGCCCGCGCAGCGCTCTGCCCGCCGTCCAGCCCGGCGCGAGCGGACGGTCACCGCGCGCTGGGTGCGCTGGCTCGACTTCACCGCGGTGGGCAAGAGCCCCCAACCCCTTCCACCTCCGCCCGCTACAGGTGAACCACGGGGACCCTGCTCGCACCGAGTCCCTGAAGGCTCCTGGTCCCCTCGCCCGGCCCCAGAAGGGCCCGGCGGGCGCTCATACCTTGCGCCCTGGTGGTTGAGGGGAGCCAGAGTAGAGCCCCTGCCTGCGGAGGCCTGGGGAGCCGGCCGAACCCAGCGAGCCAACAACTGGAAATTATTAATAGTTAATGTGCTTCGTATGGCTCCAGCCGCCTCCTGGCGCAGCAGGGCGGGCTCTTGGTCTGGCTCTAGCTCTTATTTCTGCTGGGAAGAAAAGAGCGCCCACTTAGTTTATTCTCCGGGGACTATCTCTGCCTCCCTTCGGTGCTCAGCCAGCAGGCCGTGGCCACATCAGGAGGGAAGTTCTGCCATGAGGCAGACTCGGACCTCCAACGAGATGCATAAGCGCAGCCAGCGCTCACCCGAAGGACCAGGGACTCCCTGGCAGGGCCTCAGCGTTTCGCGCATAGGTGTTTCCTTCAAAACACCGGATGGGGGATTTCTCATCTCCTCCCCTTTGACAGCGAAGCCCATCTGAGTGGGAGCTCGTTTCCGCAGCTGCAGCTGTAGAACTGGACTTTTCTCAAATCTAGGATTTTCTCACAGAGACCCCATGATTATCAGCACGTATAGGAAGTCCCCATCCTGCCCTAACTTCGGGCTTTCTGCCTGGAGTTGAACCTGTGCCCAGGCCTGGCTGGTAGGTGCCCTCTGCTCAGGGACTTCCCTCACTAGGTGACAGGAGGGCCCCACACCACGCCCACAAGGGCAATGTGGTCTATGTCCCTGCACAAACCAAAGATCCTTGTCTTATTTGGGACCTGTCAAAGGCAGAAATTTAGATGTTAGAGCTCTGCGGCAAAGCCCAGCCCTCCTACCCTTTCAGGTATGAAAACAGAGGAGGCATTTGACTTACCCCCAAGTCACACAGCAGGTATAAGGCAGCTTGCTGTGGGGCCTACAGTCATCCCCGCCACAGAGAGTAAAACGGGGTACTTGGCTTTGTGCTGGGAGGTAGTTCGTTCATTTAGGGCTTGCGGGAATAGGTTACAGGATCAAAGGTCCTGCGTCATTGTTAGTGCAAAGACATACTCTGAGTAGTGGGTCTTCAAAGCTGGACCAGCTACTGTGCCTATTTACCCCACCGATCCCACCATCTGCATAGCCCAGGCTGACCCTATGCAGGGCTTCACAGACTCTTAAGTGCTTTCTGGGGCTGTGGAAAGCCTATCTGCTGGCACTGGGAGGATTCGGCATCCTGGAGGGAATTGCCCACTAGCAATCCCAGGTAGGTCCTGAGAATTCTTTCCTAAACCTGACTAGGTTGGGAAAGGTGTTCTGGAAGATGGCAATGAGCTGGTGACCTTGCAGAATATCAGCCTAGGAGAGAGAGAGGGCATGGCTGAGGAAATTCATCATGCTAGGTCTGTGCTGTGCTTTCTCCACTGAAGTGTGGATAGTTGTAAAGTACCTTAGGAGGGCTCTCCATCTGGACCTGTTAAAATCTGGGGAAAGCCTGAAATTGCTACTTTCTGAGGAGAATTCTGAAGGGCTCCATTCTCCAAGGAGACACCACAGTTGCCACAGTGATAAAGGGGGTGTGAAGCTGCCTGCCACAGAGGGTCCAGGGGACACTCTGAGGCACCTTTCCCTTCCTGGCAGTAGGATCACCAAGCAGTGGGTAGAACTCCACATGGGCATCTCAGCCATCAGACTGGAGCCAGGAAGCATCCATGTGCTGACCTCTAGCTGATGCCCTAAACAACCACTCCCCAACTCCACAGGGGTTTCTGGGCAACTGCGCAGACTTCCTGAACCCAGAGGGCATCTTCAGGTCTCAGGCCAACTGCCAAGATCCTCCTGAATCATAATACAGCCACCAGCCTCTTTCAGAGGCTCCTTACAGAGGAGCTAAGCATGGACATACATACTAGAAACTGGTGGGGCTTGAGTAGTACTGTGCTGGGACCTGGCATTGCAGGAGAAGCAGTGGGGAGATCATAGCCCCAAACCACTCAAGTTCCCCTGAGCCGTTCAGACGTTCCTTCCCCCAAAGGCTGTCCCTTAACTCAAGCCAGTCAGACAGGGGCACCAGGCTTGTTCACACTTGTCCACATTATCTTTGAAGGACTCAAAGATAAACCTGAGGGGCCTGGAAGCCCTAGGACTCTCAGGGTATCTGGAGAGGCCCTTTGCACTGGCCCAGGCATCGCACCTCCCTGATAACTCACGGCATTCCTGGTGGAGTCAAGCTGCGGTGTTCTCACAACAGAAACCAGCCAGCTTGGACTTACCTGAGTCCTCTGGGTGGGAGAGCAGGGGCATCTCCTCTGCAGCCACATGGAGTCCTGTGGTCAGCCCCTGGAAGGCGGCTGTTTTCTCAGCACTGGGCAATGAGCTCATACTACAGACCTACGGCTGATCTTTGGGAGAGCCTCAGCCTGAGTTCATCATGGGCCTATATCTCATTTCACATTGTTTTCCAAAGGACATTTTTTTTTAAAAGCTCTAATCAAAGCTTGTGAAAGACAATGGCATCCACCTTGGCTCACTCCTGGTCCCGCTCTTAAGACAGACCTTCTTTCATGGAGCAGCTGACTCCATATAGAAATCAGGGGTGAGTTACACAAAACCAAATTGAGCATTGCCCGGTGAGCCCAGAGTCCGCATAAAGAGTGGCCTCTTCTCAAAGCTGTCCTTTCAGCGCAAGCCCTCGAACTGTCTGGATCGCAGAGACGAGTGTCCTCACAGGGCTTGGCTTCTGGCCTGAGGCCTTTCCCAGCCCGGTCTGAGAAATAAAAGCTGCCTAACAATGAATGCCAAGCCTGTGTTTTCCCTTTTTCTGCACTGAATTAAGCTGATGCCTGAACAGGAGTTGAGTCAGACAAGAACAGGGCAGGACCCCCACAACGGCTGCTGCCTATTATTTTGGTACAGCTTGTCTTCAGTAACCCCGCTCAGACAGCAGATTTAAAACCCTGCCAGTCCTACCAGGCGAGAAAGTAACAAAAATAATGAACCACCATATACCAGAGACATTTTGCAGGGGTGGAGTGGGGAATGGGATCAAAAACGGGGGTGGGGGGGTGGGGAGGGAAATGCATGGGATTATGGTGATGGGAAA